ACAGAAGTTCAGTTGGTTTAGTTCATTTGACTTGCATAGCTAGCAATTTTGTTCTCCTTGCAGCAAGGGTAACAATTTTGTGCCACATTCATTTTACATACGCAGTGCTTTTCAGCATTGTGCTCACACACTTCATAAGCTGCTTAGTTAGCTACGTCAGCTGAGTACAGCACCACCGTTCTTCACGAGCATCAACCTTTTAACTCCAGACTCCTTTCTGCAGTGGGTCACCAGTGCTAATTGTGTATCAGTCGTCTCCAGGTAGCACATCTGTACTGCTGTTATTGGTATTGTGTATGCTTGCAGCTATACTTTGTATGTGCACTGTATATGCTGAGGCAAAATGAAAGTAAGTTCACTTCTTACAATTCTGGGTAAACTTAAAAGGGTTTGATGTATTTTATTTCAGCTAAACATATGTATAGCTTCCTCCCTGACCACAAGTCAGTATGATCACTGAGCAAATAACAGCTAGTTCTCCATATTACCTGTTTTCTTTCTTTTAAATCCACCTATGATCTACTTATGGGCTTGCTGAAATTCAAAGAAATCTTTGCATTGATTTCAGGCAGGTAGAATTATATCCTTGAATATAAAGTCTTCTTGCCAGGGTGTGAATCATCTTGTGTTTCTCTGTGAAGTTTCATGTTTCTGTAGAAGTGATAAATCACGCAGAATGCCTCATCACTGGTTTCTCTAAATTCCCTCCAGTTAGTGTGAGTAATTTGTTTACGTGCCGTCTTTGCCAGACCAGTGAATTTCCCCCACCTCACCCTGTCCCAGTGTGACCCTCAGCACAATTAGTGTTGACGAGTACCATCACATTGTCTGTTTCTCTGTGTGGTGTTTAGGCACTTTCCATCCTACAGCAGTGTGGCTGGGCATGAAATCATGATGAAATTACAGCTAATACAAAAGGTGACAGCCTGTCTCCTTAGCAACCTGGGCCACTGCACGCACATAACCAGCCCATGCCGAAGTGAAAGACTTAGTACTTTTTCCCATGGTGTTTACTGGCAAGTCTCAAGATTAACTACATCACCCCCCCTGAAGCTTTGCCATGAACATAGCATTTGCAGCAAAGCAAACTACCTCTTCTTTTTTGCTTGTACAAGCAGAGGAGGATTTTGCTGGATATAAAATAGGTACAGATGTGATGATGTCTTTGCAGAAGGTAGAGAAAGCAAGTAGCGTTTTCTTCAGTTTCAGATAATTTCTTCTGGGCTCTGTTTTCATGCCACGCTGGGCAGAGCAGGCACCAGTAGTGCTGAGAGGCACTCTCAGCTCCAGAACTCTGTACGAAAAGGACAGATGTTTCCAAAAAAATAAATATCTCTGAGTTCCCGATAGAGACAGGAATATAATAAAAGATAAGTCAATGGCATTTTTCCTTTTTGTGTTTGGCTTGTAGAAATTTTTGCTCTGCAGGGAGTTGCAATAATTTTCAAGGCAAAATAGGACCGGGGCATTCGCAAGTTCTTAGCTTGTAAACTATGACTGAGAGAACTCCTTCAGATTTCAGGGTAGAATGTTGTCTGTTAGCTAACATATAAAGCAAACTGCCAATGTGCACCTTTCATCAAGGAAAATGCTGTAAAATTTGATGCTTGCTTTAAAAATTAAAATGAGTGGCCTTTGTGTTTATCTCAGTGGTGCATAAATTGGTAAATTCTAATAATAAATCGCACAGAACCTGAAAACTTGTTTCAAACCGAAGTGATCATTAAATTCATATATGTGCTGCACACTCAGTGTCAGAAGAGCAGTTAATTTTGTATGTTTTCTGTGAGGCTGATCTCACTATAGTCAAGCTAACTGTCTAAAACGTACTAGGTTGCATGGTCCACTGGCTGAATTTTTGTAAACAAAGCGAATGCAGATTAAGGGGAATATTTTTCTGAAAGAATCACTGCAGGCTCTGATAGTAGAATGAAGGAGAATCTGATAGTGTTTAATTCCCCTTGGTTAGAGTACCAGTATTTTGCCATAGTGTCATTTTACTGCTATGTACCATATTTACTGGAGGTGTAGCTGTTAGCTGTGGAGCAGAAGACATACAAAGATGCGTTATACATTTCTTTCTCTTTGGTAGGTAAATTGTGAAGCTGAGAAAAGCTCGAAGACTTTTTTTTCTTTAAAACAGCAGTTGCAGTATACTTTCTTTTCCCCATCCATTATGAGTGCAAAGGCCTCTGATGCTCATATTATTTTAGTGTTGCTTGTTAAACTTTCGAAGACTGAGATACATAGTAAGATTTGCCATCAGCCTGTAGTTAGAAGCAATTGTGATGTGCTTATAGAGGAAAAAGTGGTGGTGTCTTTGAATGTGGGAGACCAGCTATGTTTGCAGCACTGCTGGGGAAGTCCAGTGTGACCTTGAGCAGGTCCTTCTTTTCCTTTCCTTGAAAATGAAAATATATTCCTCCGAGTCATAAAGTTTGAGAACAAATAGACAAATATTTGCAAAGGACTCAGCAGACTGATGAGAAACAGGCAACTTCTGAGGTAGTCACTTCCAGGGGAGGGGCTCTAGCAGCTTTTTAACCAAGCAGATAAGTATTTTTCATGTATTTAAAAAAAAAAAAAAAAAAGGAGAACACAGTGCATTTAATTAGTCACATATGGATAAGCTACTTGCAGCTGGAGTCATGGCCTTGGAAGCTGATGTGTTGTTTTGGGGGTTTTTTTGAGGAAGTGTCCTTGAGTATACAGATGATTTGGGGAACTGTATGAAGAAACAAAAATAATCAAGAAATACAAGCTTCACTTTCAATCTCTGAGCAAAACTGCAATGAAGGAGACTTCAGCCCAACAGCAAATATGGCTACTGTAGAATATATTATTTAAGTATCTCTGATGGATCTCCATGCTGACTTTCTTACAAGTTTTTACATCAAACTCTATTTCTTTCCTTCTCTCTAAGGCACAGTATAAAGAAATGAAATTATCACAATAGGCTTCTGAAATAAGGGTGGTGGTTTAAAGCGCTCTGCTTGAGTTGCGTAGAATCTATGTACTGCACAGTAAAACTCATCTTTTTTAAGAGATAGAGGGATCTCTGGGATGAGATCAAGGCTATAATGAACTCTTTGAAGAACTAAGAAATATTTCAGAGCTTTCACTTAAGACATTCTGTTGAAGAGAAGGGAGATGAGAAAAAGATCCTTGCATGACAACTTTGAAAACACCACATTAACTAATGAAACTCTGCCTCTTCAAGTTGGAGAAAAAAATCCCTGAACCCTCTTTTGCAGTGCTTACTTTCATTTTTCCCCATTCTGTTTATTTGATAGTTGATGTGTAGGGGAATGTGTATGTATGTTCTCAAATGGTTTGCAGGCATTTTGCTGATCACTTTATCATGTCTTAAAGATCACTAGTGTTCCTCAGACAATAATTGAGAAACGCTGGTCTAATACTCTATCAGAAGATTCTTTGACATTACAGCAATAAAGGGGAAGTACCACTGTCAGTAGAGTATGAAAAGAAATTTAGTTAGAAATGCTAACCTGGAAAAATTGAGGAGGAAGAGAGAGATCTCAACACATTTCAAAACAATGATAGATAATTCAGGAAAGGTCTTAATTTTTCTGGACTGATTTGCTCTAGGAAAAGAACTTATCTATTAGTATATAGCAAAGGAATTAACTAATGCCCAACTTTACTGCCAAAAAAACCCCCAAAGATTCTGGTATTATTTTAACTAGAATGTTCAACACCCCTGATTTCTGATAAAATAAATGATGAGTGCTGTATGATGGGGTCATGAATCCCAGAGTAAGAGATGCCTGTTGGATGGAATCTCTACCAGAGGCAGGAACACCTCTGTTAGGTGCAGCTTGTGGAGACAGTAACCAAGAGGTTAAGCTGGAATCAGCAGCTTCCCCAGGAAAGGTTTTCTTAGAGCAGGCTGTGAGTGGCTCTCTGCCAGCAGCTACCTGGGGGGTGCTGACTTGCACGTTGGCTTCTCTGCAAAGCATTGTCCCAAATTGAAGCCCTAACACAAGAAGTCAGAAGTAATACAGAAGTAAAAAGAAGTGTCTTCTAGGACATAGATACAGCCACCCTAAGTCATGCTGTCAGAAATTCTGTTTATCTTAAGTATAAATTAGTAACAATACTTAAGTTATGAGAAGAATCGTGGAAGCTGATACTAGCAATATGTGGGGATCTGAAAAATTTTCAAAGCAGTTGATCTGATTGATGAGATTTGGGAAGACAAACTTGCGACAGGATTCCAAATCGTGATACAGTAAAAGGCAGTGAAGCTGCAATTTTTGTCTGATCCCTTTGCAAAGATAAGGCCTAAATTTAAACTTTAGTTTGAATATCACGTTTAGATGCAGAATTGTTTCCAGCTTATATGAATAGTTAGCTCATGATTAGAATGTAAACAGTGGGTTAGCTGGAAGTGTGCGTCAAGTTTGTGATGTAAAACAGTTTTGATGTCCAAGGAGAGATTCCTGTTAACTTCAGTTTTTCTTAGACAAGGTACATGGTATGTTAATTAAGATTTTTTTTTTAACTACTCAAATCTAGTAGAGACAAACTAAAAAAAAAAAAAAAGACAGAAATGACTGATGGATATTCTTATCTAAACAACAGCTGTGCAAATCAGTCTATCCTCATGAATAGTCATAGAAGTTAATAAGAATAACATCAATAGGGTTCTCTGCTGTTGTAATAGGTTTCTGTAAGAAGTGCTCTCAAAACCAGAATTCAGTAGTGTTCTTTGTATAGATACTTCAAGCATCTCATGGAGTTTAATGTATTTTTAAAAAGAGGGAATTGTTTTTAAAGAAGACAAACCTAAGACAAGTTCTAATTTACTGTTACATTTTTGTGGGTTTTTTCCTAACTGGGATATACAGGCAAAGATACAAATTTGAAAGCTACGTAGGATTTTAGACGTGACTCAAAAAAGTACTTTCATGTCACACGAGGGTGGTGTGAATTGTGCATTAGGTTAAAGCGTTGTTTTCTCTGCTTTTTTCTGACAGGTCATTGCTTGTGAACAACAGTATGACTACTCATATGATGCTCGATGTGACGTATGGTCCTTGGGAATAACAGCTATTGAACTGGGGGATGGAGACCCTCCTTTATTTGACATGCATCCGGTGAAAACCCTTTTTAAAATTCCAAGGTATGGCACTAGATGGCTCTCTTCACTCACTAGTTTGTTCAAAGACAATCTAGTCAAAGGAGAAAGAAATATTTGGTAAACATTTGTGCTTCAAATCCTAAGAAACTCTCATATGAAAAGACATTAAAAAGCTGTAATGTTAAAGACTTTTTCTTTCAGCCTGACTTACACAATAATTTATATTTAGAACGCCTTGAAATGATAAAGATGTACGTATTTATTCTTATCTTAGAATATAAAATCATATAATATTAAGGTACCTCCCTTCAAAAGTACTATTCTTAGCTGCTATTGATGAAAACATTTGTTTCAAAAGAGGAAGAAGCCAGCATTTGTAACTGTTGAATAATGTTTTTAAATGTTATTCCCCTAGAGTCTTAGGCTTGTTTTACCACACAATTTTGACAATGCTATGAAGCAGTCTGATAGTTTCAGCAAACTGTAGTCGTAATTTATTTTTTCATTTACTCAAGGATGTTAAAATGTGAAGATTTGGATTGTCATACATGGATATGAAAAAGGGATAGAAATTCCCTCTATGCATAGTCATGCAAATTATCTGTATTATTTCATGCTGTCTGGTTTTGCTTTTGTTTTGTTTTCATTTCGTTGAGTCTTCCTGAATAAGTTAAGATGAGATTGACAGTGTAAAACAAGAGTTTAACCACATAACAGTTTGTAATAATAGAAGAAATATAGAAAGAATTTGTCTGTCATCGATTAGACTGGCATATACTTGTCTTTTCCACGTTTTGCTCATAAAGAAAGAATCACCACTGACTGATAGCAGTTTAAAACCTTCAGCAATACAAGTGTTTGACCTTTTGTTATCTGCACAGTTATCATAGGCCTTTAAAATTTCTTCTGATTGCAATTTGCATTTCTGATTAAGTCTATTTATATGCAGATGCAGTTGTGCTGGGTTCTGCGTCATCTAGTTATCTCGTTCTACCCAGCTCAGACGTGAACTGCCACCACTCTTGCCAAAATAATTCATACCGAAGCAGCGATTCATCTTGGTGCCTTTGTACAAGTGTAAAACAGGTCCTGGCAATTAAGGCAGTAAGGGAGGCTTCAGATTACTAAAGCAGCATCTATAAATTTTATCAGCGCTCGAAACAGTTTAAAAGGACAGAAGTCATACCAAAAGTAACACCAAGCAGTGGGAAGGTACATAGAACAGGGCACATAGAGGCTTTGATTTCTATCTTTCCCTATTTGTTGTAACATCTCTGTATGACTTAGATACTTCACCTTTGTTTTGCTATCTGATGAATTAAATAATGGCTACATTTACTAAATAGAATGGTAGCAATTTTTAAGTCCCTCTGCTTTGCATTTTATGAGCTATAACTCTGTTCCTGGTAACTGTGCATTCATAGTAAAGTGGCCTATGATGAGTGCTGGATGGCATAAGGGCCTGGGGTATAGGAAATAGAGCTTCTCTCCCAGTACTTGTTTAAAGTCAATTCAGAGGGATAGTAAATTCGATCAAAAGGTGCATTCCCCTCTTGTAGTTGTTTGACAGTTTAGAAGTAATCTTAGTGCAGTTCCTGATATCTGTGCTGTAATTCACACATTTCTAACAGCACTTTCAACATGAGCATTGAGGCTTTTCTCAGGTTGAAAGTGGTTCTTCCAAGCACTGCCTGTTGAGTGGTCAAGCAGCTATGTATAGAAGCATTGCACCTCACCTTCTGAGACTGTTCAATCCAAAATCCTCTGAGCTTAGGGATCTGACATCTTTACACTTTCTGCTTTCATGATAATATCTGTGTCTGAAGTTATAAATGCAAATGTTAAGTCATTTGGTCATTTTTACATAGTTAGTATCCTCGATTATCATCTCTGAATTTATCCAATACAAATTCTCACCTATTATAACATCTAGTAGCAAATAAGCCTACAAGGTAGCTATATTTTACTGGAAGAACTCTCTCCGTTTGTGTGCTACTCTGTAGCTTTATTTGATAACCCTTAGCTGCCTTATGAGAAGATGAAAGGTACGGTCAATCCCTATTTTCCCCCCTTCACATGACTTAATGTCATTGTAAGAGCCAATCAAAAGAAAAGGAACCCTGCTGTGTCCTTCTTTTTTTTCTTTTTTCTTTTTTCTTTTGTTTTTCATATTGCTTCTCAAGCACTTGCCCAAGACTTCCTCTGCATCCATTTGTGTATTTGAGCCAAAGCTCTCAGCCCTAGTTTTTGGCTCAGTGAGACTACAGTTAGACTCCGGACTCAACAAGTTTCTTAACTGAGACTAGCATTTGTCACATCTCCAGAGGCATTTGTGCTGTGCAGAGGGATCTTCATGTATTAAAATTGCTCTGCTGATACCTGCAATCAAATAGCTTAGGTTAGCGTGGAGTGAATGAGAGGCAGCGTATTCATGCGGCTCAAATTCTTGTCTCAGCTGAGGGGTGGTAACCACTAGCTTTCTGTAGGAG